TGTACATAAGTACAAGACTATAGATTACAACTATTATATTAGAACTTGTCTCAAGCCTGTTGTCCATGAAATATGAAAACAAAGAAAGTCATCAAGTGCAAAAGATATAAAATTACTTCATGAAAATGTTCGAACTCATACTTATCCAAATGTTATTAGTTGTTTAACACAAGATGGTATCAATATAATGCTATTTTCATCAGACTTTGTATGATGTGAATTTAAGCTAATGATTACATCAAGCATAATTTAACTAAGCAAACAAATGAAAAATCATTAGCACTTGCAGTCTCTAAGTTAGTTCAAAACGCTTGAGAAGAAGAATTTGAGAAAAAAAAAACATTTGATAAATTGTTAGAATGGATGGAAATTTGTATATTAAAATCATCTTTTGACTTATGTACTTAGAAAAGAGAAATATAGACATGATTCAAAGTCACGGTCACGTCGGCTGCAAGTACAAATCGCAGTTATCATGTACTCTAATCACATTATTCTTAATATCCTGATGTAATACATAATCATTAACAAACCACATTCGGTTTTGAACTTTTTTTTTTTCTACCAATAAATTTATAAAAAATCTCTTTGAACAATATCTCAACATACTTTCATTCTTAATTTCTTCCTCATAAAGTTTATATGACATATTAAATCCAACACTGGAAAAATTGGAACTATTGAAAAATGATTCATAAGTTGGTACACATTTTTGTCGAAGAACACCCATATAAAGTTGTAATCCTACCTATAATACAAAGAGAAATTTATTCAATATATATATTTTTGTCTCAAACTCAAACCAATGCAAATATAGAAAGAATAAAACTTGATAAAACAGTCACATCTCGTAGACAAATAAGAGATTGTATTAAAGCATCAACAATTGTTTTTAAACCTAGAATAATCAATTAATTAATAATCTATATATAAATATTAAACAATATACCAGGTACAACTGCAACAGTTTTTAATGCTCTTAATACACGAAATGTTCGCAATACCGAAACTTTTCCCAAATTAACAAAAAATGTTATATATCTAAAAAAGAAAAATACACAAATAAATATTTCTTATCATTTAAAATACATACGCAAGTGTTATTACAATAAAATCTAACCAATTCCATGGATCACGTAAAAATGTATGTGGTTGTAAAATAAATCCTCGTGCAACACATTTTGTTAATGCTTCCAGTGTGTAAATTATTGTAAAAACATATCTATTTTTTTTTAAATAGAAAATAAAAAAATGTATATTATTAAGAAAAAAAAAGTAAACAATAATATCACCTACTCATTCGTTTCTGGTACATTTTTAAGTGTCATAAATACACAATTAGTTAAAATTGTAATCATAACAAATGTACTAAAAAGTGAATGTGTTAATATACGTATAGCTAAACGTCGAAAACAATTAAATGGAGAAAATATAAAACAAGCTGGTGTTGAACTAAATCGAAATATTGTTTTATTTCGATTAATAACCATAAATGCCTTGAATGTTTTGAAAAAAGCAAAAATAAATTTTTCTTTTCTAAACAAATGAAATTATCAACAATTTATACATACATATTCTGTACGATAATACCAATCAATTTCTTCAATTGGTTTTCCAATAAGTTCAGCAGGAAATTTATTTTGTAATATTCGTGGTAATGTTTCTCCAACAGCCAATTCTTTATTAGGCATTCGTTTAGGACCAATTGGTTCATATTTTGATGATTTATTCATAGAACGATATTCATCACTATCATCTTCACGTATTGTTTGTCGTTGTAATCGTTCAGAAGCAATACGTTCAGCTTCTTCTTGTCGATAACGTTCAATACGTCGAAAGGATTCGTGTGTAAACTCGCGAAAAACAATCGAGTGGTAATCCATCCTGTTTATTAATACTTACTACCTGTTCATACATATTTTATTGAACAATAATACATAATAAAGAACAAAATACGCTTTTTATGCTTCGACATTAATAATTAGATATAATAATACACATAAACAATATTGAAAATTCGATGATAAGATCTCTATTTAGTTTATTGACTTACAGATATATTGTGTTTGACAGTTATACATTGAGCAATCAGTGATAATGATGAGATCCAATTGTTATAGTGACATTAGGATAAGCTTGCAATAAATATGAATGAAAATAGACAAAAGAATAAATCGTTATTCTATTTTTCAAGTAATAGTCGTGCGTCAACGAATTAAATGGATTGACTTTTAGACAAGAATGTTACACATCATGCAATAATGAAAAAGTGACTTCTTCATCTATTGCCCATTGATTACTATCATTTCTTTCTTTCTTTTCTTTTTTCTTCGTTTCATCTAAGATCTTTTTTAAACAATTGTCATGTGTAGAATCAAGAAAGAAAAGAAACCAATGACTTTAGGGAATATAATTTTGCTCTGATTTGCTAAGTATTTTAGAGTCAGATACAAGAATATCGACGTGTGTGTGTGTGTTCTTTTTTCTTTTCTCTTTTATGAATCTCAGTTTATTAAATTGAGGACTTTTTTTACCAATCATTAATCATTATTGAGAGTTGTAGCAAATTTATCAAGATTAACTATTGAACATGTCTCGCTAACTTAATATTGATATTCGTTGTATTTGTTAATATTCATCTAGGTTTCCTCTTTCGATAAGGTCATCATCTTCAAACATCAATAAATGAAAGCAAAAGAGTTGTTTTTTTCTTATCTTATTGTTTTTCTTTGACTGAAAAAAGAAAAATGTCAATAGTAAGTGAGGAAGAAACACAAAGAGTAACAATCGAATAGTCACGCATATGAGTCCGGATGATGATGATGATAAAGTGAACAGCGTAACGTTCCTAAATCGAATTTCTTCGTTGATTAGCATATCTAATAAATGCTTTGAATAATAGAACGATTCTAAGAAGAAAGCTAAAGAAAGAACGACAAATTTGTTGATCCGTTTAAAATCAAGTTCAAATCGTTCACTCTTTATTGTCAGTCAAGGTTACATAAAAAGAATAGCAAAAAAAACAATAATCGGAATAGAAACAATTCGTTAATAATTGATAAAATAATGAAAAACAAAATCATTTTATATAACTAATACTATATAATTGAGTAATGTCTAAATTGTTTTCAAATGATTATCTATTTGTGGAAGTTATAGTCTGATTGATGATTTAATTTTAAGTTCTTAATTGTTATTTGATAGTTAAGATTATTTTATATTTATAATCTTTCATAAAACAATTGTCCAAAAATAAAAATTGTTCTTTTTTTTATCAATTGAGTAATAAAATAAAATGATTAACAATAAAAATTTCATTGTCTTGTGCATGACATTATAGCAAATAAATAGAGATTTATTTATCAATCAATGAATTTATTTACATGCACATTGATGAACTATGCAGGAAAGTGTTAGACATGAATGTCTTAAAATCTCTAGAGATAATGTTTTATTCTATGTTAATTAATGTTTATCTAAGAAATGAAATTGTAAGAGATCATATATATATATATTTGATCATTTATTAAAGATATTAAATTTTGATTCAAATTTGATAATCATAATTTTGAATGAAAAGTTATAATTATGATAAATGATGTTGTTGATATAACTGTTTGTCTTTTAAAAAGTGAAATTGTTTACTTTTCATAGGAGAAAAAATTTTTCTTAATTCAAATTTTACAAACAAAAAAAGTTTTTATAATAATAAACAATGTTTCTTTTATCTATCAATAATCATATTATTTGCTTTAGTTTATAATATGAATAAAGTTAATCTTCATTCTTCTCAAATGTCGTTTATTTGTACCATTTCGTTTTTCATTTAATATCGATAGTAAAGATTATATGAATAATAAGAAATATATGCATGCATATATATATATATGATACAAGCGTGCTTGTTATTGTCACCACTGGTATCCACTTATTTCAATATGACTACTCGGCATTTTATGAAGAGTCGTCGCGACTGAAGTGTGCAACGAATCTATGCATAAGTTAATACTTTTCAATAGATTGTGACGTATAAAACTTGGCTTGTAGTTACACTTAATCATTCAACAATGTATTTTTTTTTTCTTTTGATACTAATCATTGAATAGCCAGTACAAATGACATATCCTGACTGACAACAAGGTATGCATACATATCAAATTCTATTGTCATATAGTACTAATTAAGACGAGAAATGTATCATATAGATTAGTTCTTTTTTCTGCGATGTAAAAGCATGAAATAATAAGTATAAAGGTAATTTATATGTGAAAAAAATCTAATGACATACAGATATGTAGAAAATACTCGATTAAAGAAGTTTTCGTTTGATTACCTAATCATTTCATCACATTTATGCCTTAACACTTCTCTCATATATTTTTTTTATCTCTCGTTCACTGTTGTCGGTCGATTTGCAAACAAATAGAAGCCGTAAGGATGATAGAACTATAGAATGAATGTTTGACATTCACACAGACGGTAATGGCATCCTTTCTTTAATTGGTTGTAATCGCTTTCGTGTGCGCTTTCGCGCTTATCAGAGACTAAGAGCATATGTATACTACAATAAAAAAAAAACAGAAGATGATTCTTCCCAACAATATTATACATATGTATTCCGCTTGTGGCTTCTTATTTGTTGTCTAACTGACCGTAGTGCATTGAAAGTCGTCCATAATCATCAGCAGTATTCATACTACTAGACACTTGTTACGTCGTAATCGACCTGTAGCAAATTTTTTTTTTTTCTCTGCCCCCTTTTTTTCTTTTTTAAACATTAAGAGAGAAAGTGTTAAAGTAAGAGTGAGATACCGTATTGAGTCAAAATCATCTCTAAAATATTTTTTGGTAATGGGGAAGCCGAATTGTGATGACAGGTATACTTGAGATTTATTTTACAATTTAATGACACTGTTTAGTAACATTACTATTTTATTAGTCAACTTTTTGATCGTATATCTTCACCATCGACGATTTTGCCACGACCAACAGATTTTGATATGAATTGGCATGCAACATTAAGTCAATCTGATCCAAGTATTCAATCACGTCAAAATCAATTTATTAATCGATTACCTACAAATGGTTATAATTCATCATCATATAAAGTTTCAATTGGACATGAAACGGTAAACATAACAGAAATTGCACGTCATGGTGAACAATCATGTGATCCAAAAGCAAAAATGGCATTGAATGAACGACATCGTGCTATTGCAGCACAAAAAGGTGCTGATATTCTTAGTTTATGCTTTATGAGTTTTGTTTCTGCTACTCTCATACTTATTGCTATATCTACAATGCATTTATTACTTAAAACAAATTATATTAATAACAGTAATATGATTCCATTTTTGTTTCAATCAGCAAATATTACACCAGGTTTTTTATATATGTTTGGAACACCAAATCCACCAACAGATTCAGTATCAAATATTTTTATTTCAATGTATGATCGTACTATACGTGATTTAGCTACTGTCGTCTGTTTATTAATCATTGTACTTAATTGTTTTTGTTTATTAGTATTCAGTATTGAAATTTATCTTGGTTCTAATATGATACATACAAAAAAGAATTCATGTCGGTAAGAATATCATCTCTTTTTTGTTTATATTGAAATAAAATTCATTGTTTATTTTCTTTTTTATGTTCTGTTTTAGTTGTCTTTTTAGTTCTTCAACATCACGTTTTATTGCTATATGTTGTTTTTATGCATCGATTCCAGCATTAATACTCGGTAAGAATTATTTTCAAAAATGTTTAGTTTTATTTTTTTGGATTATTAATTATTTTTATTTTAGTGATGTGTTTATTTATTCTATTAAATATGACATTGATACCAGCAATTATTTCATTACTTGTTCTTGGTTTAGGTTTAATTTTTATTCTTCTTGCTTTATTAACATATTTTTCAACATGGCAACATAATAATTTTTCAACAACAAATGAAAAACTAGCTGGTATTAATTCATCTATATATCATACTGTTGATATGAATCATTTAGGTGAAGATGATATTGATTTAACAAAAGCTGATGAAATATCAACACTTGTATAAAATATATTATAAATGTATAATTATTTCTTTGTTGAACAAATAAAATAGATGAGAGAAATTTTTTAGATATATATGATAGAAAAAAGAATACAATCATCATATTTCGAGTTTACTATGTATTTATTGATTTTTCTTTAATCTACTTGTACCTATAAGAAAACATTTTCAAGTATCAAGTTGCTCTCGAGTCAAGACTATATACATCATGTAATTCTATTCATCTCAGAATACCCTGAAATAAGTTAAGAACATAAGTTTATTGCTGCCGAGATATTACATTTTTTTTTACCGTATTTTTTAATACCATGGAGTAGTCATACCGTCATGTGTACCAGGAAAACTGAGTTTCAAATTTCAACTTAAAGCTTTGCGTATAGACAAGGCTTAACGAAAATAGTTTATTATGAAAGTTTCAGATCATTTAGTTTTCCTATGCTACGATATGAATATGCTAACAGTACAACTTTCTGTTTCCTTGCCTAAGTACACTGACGGATTTCGATGTTCTTATTTCAGCATAGAGGCAATCAAAAAATCTGAAACTTTTACAATAAACTATTCTCGTTAAGGGTACCCCCCCTCTTTTTTGACACTTTCTGATTCTCGAAGACGGTACGACCGATCAAGCTCAAATTTTCAGCACAGATAGAGCATCAAAAATAACGAGATACGTGTTCGAGGAAAAAAAATTTAAACTAAGTTTTTTTGGGGTTTTCAGGAAAACTCTGGTTTTTCAGAGGTCCGCATCCTGATACATTACGACCCCCCTTAAATTTAGTCCGATTGGGCTGAAATTTTGTTTATAGATACTTAACACTATTCCTCAGAGGTAAATTTAAGGATTTCCAAAAATCTCACTTCCTTTTTTTTTTATAAGAAAAATACGCCAAGATTTGAGTTTGTGCTTCGGGTCTTGGCTTTCAGACCCCTGTATCTTCGGATAGGAATGTCAAAAATGAAAACGCTCGATTTTACCTCTGGAGAACACTTCCAAGTATTAGTGGTAAAAATTTCAGTCCGATCAGACATAATTTAAGGAGGGTCGTAATGTGTCAAGATCGAGAAAATCGTGATTTTGAGATACGCTAAGAAAAAGAAAACAATTTCCTTACGATTACTATGAAAAAAAAAATTTTTAATTCAGTAACTCTGTAATAGTAAGGTATTTAGAGCCGCTTAATGTGTCTAATTGTACACAACACTTGAGGCTATGGTATCTTATGCTCAACTCGAAATCGAGTTTTTGATCGAAAAAGAGGCGGGGGGACCCTTAAGAAACACATACACATTCATATAATGCGAAATTTTGATACGTCTTCATACGCGTCTTTCTTATAGTTGTAAAAAGTTTAATATCCTATTTTATTAATAGGTAGAATTAACAGTGATCCAGTACCATCGTCTACCACGATAAAAATGAATAAGAGAATCTCGGTAGATACTAAGAAATTTTTTCTCCCATAAACAACAGCTTCTTCAGTGGGTATGGGCTAGATGGTTCTGGTTCTGACAGCACTCGGACTAGAATCAAAATTTTTCCAATTGCAGTTGAAGTCAAACTTTTCGGATTGCCATCAGGGTCAAAATATCTTCTGACCGTGATCAGGATCACAATTTTTTCCAACCGCGATCGAGATCAAAACTTATTCTGATAAGAGATCCGGACTAAAACTTTTACTAAATGATGTTTGAACCAAAATCGACTGATCCCGCTTATGTTTACTCTTCATAAAATGTCATTTGAAATTAATATATTTTTTTTTTCTATTGTTTAATCTAATAAAACATATTATTCTTACCACATAGGGTAAAATTCGATCGAGTATAATTTGATCATCAACAAGAGGAATCATTAAGCGTAAAAGTTCAAGTGCAAGAAGCCGAGAATGTAAATGCTAAAAGAAAATATCCATGAATCTTAACATTTTCAAATATTAATGTTTTAAAATCATACTTTTAATTTTCTCATACAAGATAAAGCAAGTGAAAGAAGTATTAATAAACATTGTGATGATTCTTGACTTTTTTCTTCATCGATTTCCATTGAATTCTCATTTGTATTATTATTTTCAACAAGTAAGCTATTGATTATATATGAAAAATCTCGATGTAGTCTAAATATACCAAATAATCGAAATGAATTTAATTATAAATAAAACTTTTGTTTATCTTTCATACTTATAAACTACAAAATCTGGTGAAAATTCTTTTAAAATTTTTTGTACATATGGTAAAAGAAATGTATAAAAACAAGATGGAAATGCTTTGCCTGTTTGTTCATCAAGATATTGTTCCGCAGTATGACGTTTCGATGGATCATGATCAATCATACTTGCAACCATTGCCTTGAAAAAAAAAACATAGAATCTCAATAATATAATCATTGAAAAAAATCCTAAATATTTACTCGTATATCAATATCAACTATTTTATTAACAATTGGCATTGGATCATAACCATCAGTTCTATAATCAAGCATTTGTGTCAAAGTAAACAAAGGTTGTTCAGTAAATAATTCTGCTAAAATACAGCTAAAGAAAAAAAGAAATTTTTAATAAGAAAAAAGAATTTTTTTTTTTTGTTGTCGATAATCTTACCCGAGAGAAAAAATATCCATTGCTGAAGTACCTAACTTGCCAAAACTCGTTGAAAATGTATCATTATTAATATCATTTCTCATTCTTGTTTGATCATAAAAACGTTCTGGTGCTAAATAACATACATTTCGTTGTGATGCATTAAAATAATAATAATATTCGGCTGGATCTTCCTAGAAAATGAAAAAAAAAAAAAAGAAAAGTTTCGTTTCTTATTTAAATACAATGTTTTTCATATGACCGAAAATTTTACAATTCGAGTGAATTTTTTTTTCTCAATGATTTACATATGTAGTTGAATAGAGCTCATAAAACTGTATAAGAAAATGTACGTTTAAAAATTTCTCGCTCACTTGTGTACACAAAAAGAAACTCAAAATATCAAGGCAGAACTGACTTTCCTTTTATTCTATTCCTAACCCCTGGAAAATTCTTGGAGTATAATATCACTAATTTTTTCTCTACATTCAAAGGATTATTCATCTATGTCGGTATTATTACTTGTTAAACGAATTTAGTTCTTTTTGACAAGATATGAATTCAAACCCACATTGTAGTCATCAAACGTAAGAATAGATTTTTTCAAAAGATTTTCTTTCTTTGAAGTAAACTAATGATTAATATGAAAATACGATAAAATAATGTATTCGACTGCCAAAAAGTGCTATATTGTGTTTAGAAAATTTTCGTTCGTACAAAAAATAGGTATTATATTCTTAATTAGTGCTAAACATTGAGTTCAATGATTTATCCCCAAAAGCAAACCCCGAAATAGATGACCCACCGTCTCATGTTAGAAGCCAAAGGCTTCTATTATGTCCAGACAATTTCAGTGTTTTCAGCAAAACTTGACAGATATTATTAAATTAGTCTTGGCCACACACTGTCTGCGTATTAAGAAAGCGTTCCTCTAGACATCAAGTTCTCATGATAAAGAATACTCTCGAGAATTGATTTTCATTTGTCGTCGACGTCTGAAATTATGGTCAATATCTGTTCTGTTCTGTACCTGATACTTTGTCTATGAACATCACCACAGATTAACAAATTCATATTCCTTCTGCTTGTAAGGTGTGAGTGCGGTAGTTTTCTCTTCAGTAATACCAACGTCGAAATCTTCTGACAATACATTGATTGTCGCAATGACTAAGGTGCAACTAATTCGAAATTTGAGCACTCTTCATTTTTTCTTTAGACATACATTTCTAGATTCAATTTTTAATGCTGATTACGAATATTTTCTTATTTTTTCTATTTGACAAAGTTTTCATAGAGAAAATCGCAAAATACTAATGGAGTGTCAAAATTAATAAAAACAGCCTATCTATGGAAAATCAGCATTTAATTCTTTACCAATTTAATTTTGGCTCCCACCAATATCATTTTCGGTTTTCTCATTGAAAATTGACTCTAACAACATTATCCACAGTCTTAGAACGTATTACGTGTCCATTCTGAAACTTCATGAGGCAGTGTCGCTATCCATAATAGTACCAAAATTTGCAAACCTATCTATTTTTTTTTGGCAAGACACAGATCCTTCATTCACATGTCATTCGAATCATCATTTGATGCACAATAAAAGTACGAATCGCTTTTTTTGAAATGTTTTTTTCATTGTTGAGAAAATTCATTTTTTCTAGGTATGCAGTGAAAAAGTCGGAAAGTCGACTCATAATTCTCGATTTTTTCAACTAAAACTCAATTTTTATACAATAAAAATATCAGATTCGGAATCAGCATCGAAAAGTGAGTCAACCAATGTGCATTTCAAAATTTTTAGTTCATCTTCATTTTTCGGTGAAAATTTCGATTTTTCAACAAGAAAATTCTCGACTTGTTAACCTTAAATTTCGAAAAAAATTAAAGCACTCGGATAGAATAGAGATGCACATTAGTCGACTCAATTTTCGATGCTGATTCCGAATCTGATATTTTTATTGTATAAAAATTGAGTTTTAGTTGAAAAAATCGAGAATTATGAGTACAATTTCCGACTTTTTCACTGCATACCTAGAAAAAATGGATTTTGGGTGTGGGTGTGGAATATAGTTTGGTCTGTGGGGTGGAAATAGATGTAAATGAATAAGATATCCGCAATCGCACACCCACCACCCACACCCTGTAAAGTCCGAATATAATTGTAAAGACTTCGAGCAGATCTTTTCGTTTTGATACTGAATATGTGTATATTGATGGTTGACATATAGAGTAAAATGCCTAATAAGATATGTTGTATAACCATTGTTCCACAAATACATTTACAGTTAAATCTTTAACTGTACTGTTCAACATAAATCGACTCGGTAATGATGCATCAAGTGGATGAATAAATGATAAATTCTGAATATTAATCGAATTAAAATATGTCTAATTATAGAGACACATGAGTGTAGATCGAAGAAGCGATCCTATTGGAGAACAACCAAGAACAAAACCAGATACTATTTCATTGCCAACAAAAACTGGTTCCGTGCATGCTGACGATGTTGCACAGAAACAGTTGAGTCCATGAGAAATTAGTCGAGTTGGAATGCGATAGTACGGTACTTGATTGTTTTCTTCTAGTGAATACATCCAGTTTAAAAAGAAAAGATTTATCAATTGATTTCTCTGCATTATTTCTTTACTCAAGTGAAGTATTGAGACAAATGAAATCATGTTCCAATCTATTGTAGTATCAATGCTACTTTTGATTTGCAAAAACAATTGCTCTTTCGGAATGACTTGACTACTGTATAAAAATTTGCTCCTTAAGGACTGAGTGACGGAATCAACTGCAAGTCGAGCTAAAGTTCAAAGAGATTGCTCGACAAGAAAATAAACAACACCACGACTACGAAATTCATCGGGTGATATATGTTACCAATTATCATCACTAAATATACTCTCTATTCATGGAGTCTCTATGAATAGACTCGTGCAAATTTGATGCATTTGAGCTTCTAATTGTACGAAGGCGTCATATGTGATGAAGAAACGTGTGTATGGACACTGAATCGATAAACTACCAGAATGTATGAGTTGTTCATATGTTGTTTGAGTTGACTGTTCGACACGGATTGTCAAAACTTCTTTAGCTAGAGAATTTTAAACTAGGAGAATAGTTAAGACTAAAGTCCAAAGTATCATATATAACTGAGTTGTATGCCGTTCGTTTTCTAATGTCAAGTAAGAAGATATTTGTGGATCGAAGAAAAGATTGAGATTGATCAGTTCATTATATAACTCACGTCACAGACGTAACAAATCAAGTCGACCTACTGAATAAAAAATCATTTTAGAGACTAGAACTGAAAGAAAATGCGTTGTGTCGCATACAACATCAATAGATAAACAATGTCGAGCAAATTTTTACCTTTGAAATTCAATTCGAATCGTTCATGTAGAAGCAAACAGTAGAGACCTCAGCCATGGAGTCTCATGAAATCTCTTGAAGTCTGCTGTTTCCTCCTTACGTAGAATTACTTTTCTGTCACTCTTTATCTGCTTTAGAAAATATAGAAATTCATAGTCAAGAATCGAACTCATTTTCGATTTTGAACAACTAATTTTGCTGATGAAAATGAGACAGTGCACCGTTGTCTAAGACTTCTTACTACCAACTATTGTTTGATTATTCAGAACATCATCATCATCATCATCATCATCATCATCATCAGCCCGTATCGATCCACTGCAGGATGAAGGCCTCTTCAGCTTTTTTCCAATCATTTCGACAGACCGCTAGTTGTTGCCATTTGATACCTTTGTATTTGATTATGTCGTCGATCCATCGCTTCTTAGGACGTTTCCTAGGTCTTTTATGGTCTCTAGGTATCCAATTTAAGATTTCTGTTGTCCAGCGTTGATCTGATCTTCTGGCGATGTGTCCTGCCCACTGCCATTTACGTGAGGCGACTCGTCTCATTACATCGCATATTTTAGT